GCCTATTCCTCCCTTCTAGCGTGCCCACTTCCCCCCACATCTTAGTGTCGTCTGCGAATTTGAACAAGGTGCTTTTCACCCCCTCGTCCAAGTCACTGATGAAGATGTTGAACAGTGCAGGCCCAAGGACCGAGCCCTGGAGGACCCCACTGCCCACATCCCTCCAGGTTGAAAATGACCCGTCCACCACCACTCTCTGGGTGTGGCCCTCCAGCCAGTTAGTGACCCATCTGACTGTGTAGGTGTCGACACCACAGTCCCCTAGTTTTTTAATGAGATTGGGGTGAGAGACAGTGTCAAAGGCCTTCCTAAAACCCAGAAAGATTACGATCACGGCTACCCCTGCATCTAAGGATTTTGTGACCTGGTCATAGACGGCCACCACATTGGTCTGACAGGACCTGCCCCTAATGAACCCATATTGATTGCCCCTAAGCATGATCCCCCCTGCTGTTCCCTCGCAGATGTTCACCAGAATAACCCTCTCAAAGAGCTTCCCCAGGATCGAGGTAAGACTAACTGGCCTATAGTTCACTGGGTCCTCCTTCCTTCCTTTTTTGGAAATGGGGACCACATTGGCTCTTTTCCATTCCTCTGGTACCACACCAGAGCACCACAAGTGCTCAAGAAGCCATGCCAGGGATCAGGCAATGACCCCTGCTAATTCCCTCAGCACTCTGGGGTGGAGGTCATCAGGACCAGCTGATTTAAATATGTCCAGTCCCTCCAGAAGTTCCCTAACTAGATCCTCACTGACCCTCAGTCTGGGTGCGCCTCCCCTGGGGCCTACAGAGGTCCTGGTGGGGTGGGGATGACCCAGTCCCTGCTCAGGAAAATGGAGGGAAAGAAATTGTTAAATAGCTTAGCTTTGTCATCTGGTGTGACGACCAGATTTCCTAGTGTGTCTCGTAGAGGCCCCCCATTACCCAGTACCTTCTTTTTACCCCCCTGTATTTAAAAAAGGACTTCTTGTTGTTCTTGATCCGGGTCGCTAGTCCCAGTTCCATCTCCGC